TAACGGAGATTATGATCAGGTTCTGTTTATTTTACCAAATTAAGTGATTTCCGCTTGTGAAGTTTTACTAATAATTTGTTTTGTTATTGTATGTTTTGTAGAATCAAGACTTTGACGATGATGACGACGATTATAACGAGCCAGCATCCGATGGCGATTGTAAGTAATCAATCATCTTTTACTCGCTATCTCTTTACGACAATCATATAGTTAAAACTTAGAAATGATTGTAACTTAACATTGTTTCTCTTGTTTATTGCCAATAGTTGAAACTGTGTATTAAGAAGTTTCTTCTTCCCGAAGAAGAGATTAAGTTTTGCGATCAAGAGAAGCTAGGCATCCCCCAAGCTTTAGTTTTATAGAGCAGTTGAAGGTGAAAACTCAATTATGTATGTCTTTTGACAATTCACTTTAATATTTGTTTTCTTCGTTTTTTTGATACAACTGTAATGTTTTGATTCCATTTATTTTCGAATTATTTCAATACCCTCTCAATAAAATGCTCAACAAGTCAAGAAAATCTCTCAAGTTTATTTTTTCATAGTTTTGGGATCCATTGTTCGATAATTCTTTAACAAATTGAAGTGTGGCAAATTGAACGAAAGGTCTCATATATTTTTTTTGTTTGTTGAAATTAAGAATTTTTCATCATTATGATTCACTAGTTATCATGAAGTCATACATGTACATTAGTCATTTTAATCCATGTTTTTGACTAATTTCTTGATTAACTCTCTGTTTTGGCCTAAGTGTTTCTATTTACAGATTCCTCTTAAAATCAAGCAGCTCAGAAGAAATAAAACTCTAAAAATCTTTCTTTTTCGCCAAAAACAAGATTTTGATGGCAAAAAAAGAGTTTTTTTCTGAGTTTTTTTTTATATAAACTTCTGTCTGAAACAGAAAGTGTTCCTATATTTCATCTTCTCATTATTCGGAGGCTATAAACATATATTCACATTCATACCAATAAACAAAAACCCTAAAATTAATGTCTGAAGATTTTCGAGAAGAAACTTAAAAATCAAAGCTTCTACTCAAAAACAAAAACACTAATAAAGTATTTTGATTGATCAAATTTGATTTTTGCCTCCTAACTAAGCCAAAATATGAAATTGCCTAAGAATTAGGGTTCATAAAGCTATTCAAAGAAGGCACATTTATTGATTCTTCAAAGATGAAAAACCAAAACAAGAACGATGAGAAAAAGCAAAGAGATTTTTGATGTTGTTATGAGTTTGGAAGAGAAGTGTGTGACGCAACCTTTTTATTCACTCTGTTTTCTAGGGTTTTTAAGTGGTTAGGTTTATGGACTATTTTACTTTCTTTTGCAAAACGATTCGGTTTGGTTTTCTAAAACCAAATCAATCAATCTGGCAATATTGAAATCGGTTTCGGTTTTGTGTGTTTTGCTTCAGATTCTTCCAAATTGTCAAGTGAAGGTGATGATGATCAAATATATCCAAAATATATTGAATAACTCTTGAATATATCTTTACTATTTGAATATTTTAAATTTAAAAGTGGATATACTTTTATATTTTTATGCAGTTTTAATTTTTTATTTTTATTTTCTCTCAATGCATTATTTTAAAACTTATTTCTACTTTTTATAAATATTTTATTCACTTTTTTGATATAATTATTTCACATTTATTGCCACAACATTACACAAATTATTAATATTTGATAAATTATTATTGAGTCATGTTTCTATGAATTTTTTTCTTTCCAAATATGATAGATGTTCCAATCTAACTTATCATTCTATATTCTTAAACATATATGTTAACAAATTGACATTGGATAATGAAATAGAAAATCTGGATATTCTTATAAAATTTTACCTTTTCCTTACATGCATTTGGACATTTTAGACGGGATGTACACAAATAAAATTTACCTTTTCCCCAGTATTATCTGCTTATAGCTGTATACAAATAACATAACATAGTGAATTTCAAAAAATTTATATGTATCTGTTGCTAGTGAATGATTTTTTTGTTATATAGCTCAAACTCAGTTTCAGCTACGGCAAGAAGTTCTTATGCCTAAAACAATAACGGCAGGAAGTTCTGTTCTCTTTGTCTAAGTTCGGCTTCGCACGTGGGAATCCAACTGTAAAATCGTAAGCATTCCTTAGGTTTAGCTAAAATAGTATAACCGCTCCTAGTTTCGATCAACTAATTAGGCATTGCCTTAGGTACTTAGTTTGAGTACACCATTTGAGATACTCAGGTTCAGTAACAGTGTCGTTGTTTTATATACTAACTATAAATACCCTTTAATTTGACAGTAAAACCACGAAGTATAGTTAGGG